CAAGGAAATTTACTTCTTACTGGTTACAAAAACACACTTTTAATGTTTTTAAAAAATAGAAATAAAAGAAAATAAGGAATGGAAATTGCTATTGTTCTCCCATCCAAAGGTTTCCTTTTCTTCATCAGATAATTCTTGAAGAATCCGAGCAAAATCAGCTGGTTGCACATATTGTTTTGCCATGAAAACCGATATAAAATTTACACAGCCAAATGTATTCAAACTAAAATAATACATGGCAATTAATAACACAAAATTACAAAATATTTGAGAAAATATTTTCCGAATTTTAAAACATGACCATGCGTGTGTCGTAAATTTTATGAAAAAGCTGCCACTTAGCACAAAAGCCCAGTTTAAGTCAAATGACTTACTGTTGGCACATTCCATGATGTGGGGAAGGGTAGAAAAGAGGAATAGAAATGACCTTCAATCGTCTCAGCTTCGATATGAGAAAAATGTGCATTAAAAACTGAATTTGTTGTAAATTTTCCGCATACGCGAGTACTGGAAGGTTAAGGCTATTCCAAGATACAAGAAATTAAAATCCAAAACACACAACATGTGCTACTCATCTATTAATATCATCCAGCAGTCACAGTAATTTATGATTAAAATGTTAAAAATCATATAAAAGAAATTTTAAATTTCAAACACTCTTTTATAAATCCTCATACTTATGAGTAAGGATGTCATGTCCAGGTAACAATCAGTATTAATATAGCATTTGCTGAATAAAGTCAGAATCATACTTTTTTCTAAATATTCTAATAAACCATTTATTTACTCGTATTATAGCAAATATTTTACAGCAGTAAGAAGTTCTGAGTCTGTTTCTTACTTTACATTAGTATTAGTTATTTTCATTTTCATAATAATAAAATCTATCATAGTTTTCTTGGAATGAAATTAATAAAATGCAATTGTTTATCCTCCATTTCTTTTTTCGCAGTAAAATTTTAAGCATGTTAAATAGTTGGATATTTATTCCAAAATATTTACCCAAAACATTATGCATTTGTATTCAGGAACAAGAAATTTTCAGTAGACTGAGGATTTGTGCTACAGAATAATGGCATTCAAGAATGTTTGTTGGCTTTTAGTCACTGCATGTCGCATTAAAATAAAAAATATGATTTTTTGCTAATCTTTGTTTTGATTACATTTAAAAAAAAAAATTTCAGAAGTCTTGACCAATGACACTTTGATAAATTTGGACTGTATTTCAATAAAAGTCAGCAATAAATTCTGTGTTGAGCTAATTTTATACATATAATTACTAAATTTTCATTGGTATTATTCTCGGAACAATAATTATGCATTTTGCGAAGGCTGCCTAGCAACTACTTTTTTCATTTATCACTATATTAAAGTGATTTGTTTAGTGTTTTATATGTGTACAAAAAAATTATATTACACTCCTGTTTTCATTTATCACCAAGTCAAAGTGATTTGTTTAGAGTTTTGTATAAAAAATGTGTGTAAAAAATTATATTAATTTTTTTAATATGATAGATTTCCTGTCATTTCAGACTGCTTAATCTGCATTCAATTTCAAATGTACATAAAAAAAACCCAGAAAATTCAACATGGTAAATTAATTTTTTTTAATGTATGTGAAAATAAATTTACAACAACTCTAGTGTATCCTGCAGGTTGAATTGCTACCCATATACAGGGAAAGCAATTTTTTTAGTGAAACAACATGGATACGATAAATGGTTAAATCTTAGGAACAAAGATAAGTCTATCAGTTTCTATGGCAAGATTAGATTTTCATCCACGTAAAGAATAGAGAAACATCGGTACTGTTCTGTTATCGGGCACTGGATTCAGAAATGTATGTACATATATGTATATATGTATACACATACATCCATATTTATGTCTATACATGCATACCCACATACATTTCAAAATCTGACAATAGAACAGTACCGAAACATCACCATACTGTCAGTTTTTTTAACAGTCCTCGAGATGTGTTCTTTGGAAAAATGCTTTAAATCCATCACTTTTTAAGATTTAACGCATGACACGAAGAAAAATAGGTACTTTACCATTTTGCCGGTGCAAACGATAAAGTCGCCAACAATGGTACTACTGATGCCAAATGGAACATCTTCGCTGGTAACCTTTTACGCCTCATTTCCAAAACAAGTCGTAGCCATTTCTTATCAGATTGATTGTTTCTTTCAATACTGACATACAATTACATAGAATTTTTAAATTTTATGCCCTAAGACCATTCGCGGTAATTAAGTCAATTAGAGTGCAATCACACCGCTCACCCGAAAATAAAGAAAAGGCAAAATCAAGGATTAAATTCATTAATTCTAATGAGTATGCACTAGCGAAGTAAAGCACTGCGATTTTACATAATTTCTGAGTAAACTATTCGTACGAATTGAAATAATTCTTGCATTTAAACTTGTATTCCAAATTAAGATTTAACTTGAAATTAATGTAGATAAATAACTGAATTAGATTTTTGTAGCATAGTTTACATGATATGAGATCACTTAGGGTCACGTAATATCATTCGGCGAATCAGGATGTTGAACCATGAAAACATAGTAAATTCTTAAATTAATGCCTTTTTACAAATTTATTGGCTTTTTACAAAATTTAAAACCATATTAAAAGGTTTATGCCTTCAAAATTAAAAATTCTCAGAACTAACGTTTGTTAAAATTTTTTATGTGTATACTGTATGTTGTCACCGACAAAGTCTGCTTGGTGAGATTTGCGCTGGCAAAACGAAAAAGTACCGAAAAATATTACAACTGAAAATAATAATGTTGACTTTGTTTATCTCTTAAAATGGACATGTTACAAATCATGATGAAATTGGGCAATTTTCCTCTGTATAAAGAAATCTCGGAATGAATTTTGGCAACTATTATTTTCGGTCAGCAATAAACAGCAATGGTTTTCCACAATATTCACTGAATTTCTATTTATAGATATTAAATTAATAAGCTTTCTCTCTTACTTTGCTGCATTACTAGAAAGCCATTATTAGAAATCCATCAAGAGTGTCCCATGCTTTTAAAAAGCTTATTTATAAAATAAGTTTTTTAATTTAGGTTAATTGTATTTATTAGCATCTCAATAAATAAGATTAAACAGTTTCGTTTTGACGAAATAATTTCGATGTTCATTTCAATTCAAAAGTTATTTGACAGTATAAAAAAATTAAGCTCAGAAATAAAGAATATTAATAGGATAATTCCTGCTATTTTAGTAATGATTTACTGAAGCTTAGTGTCTACATTTATGTGTTTGTTTGGTTACTTCTATAATTAGTTTAAAAGATTAAATACAAAAAAAAAAAAAAAAAAAAAAAAAAAAATCCCTTTATCAAGTTGTTTTGTAAAATATATTGCATTTCTATGCCACAATGACATTCCAGATAACTTAATTTATTGATCATCATGCAACGTGCTATTGAGAAAAACTTAACAAAAGTTAAAGTTCGCATAACAGAAACCCACTTAATACAATAAAAATTCATAACCCTCCCATCACTATCATTTATTTACAATTATCCTGTAAAAGAATGTGGCTCACCTACAAAATGAAAATTTAGAATATGAACATCTGATAACAATGATTTTATTCTTACACCAATAATAAGTGAGAAAAACTTTTTACTATAGAAAAGTTTATAATAAAGTATTACAAGCCATGAATAAAATCTATTTCTCAAGATAATACAGAGAGGTTCTGAAGTACTCATATAGTATTAAAGGTAGGCCTAGTGAGCATGCATGGCCTTAATACACGAGCCTAGTGAGCTCTCGCCCAAGAATCCCCATGAGGATAGAGGACCCATGCTAATCCATTTGAATTTCATATCTGCGAGTGGATGTCATAAGGGTCCCAGTACACTAGTTTGCCCAGGTGTTCACAATGGTGTTAAGACAACACTGAGCTTAACATTGTCTCAGTCTCGCACATTTTCAACATTAAATTGAAAATTTGAGCACTCCAAAGTTTCATCTCAGGAATAGAAACTTTTTTTAATAACTGGACAAACAGCAATACTAAATTTCATTCTTAAAAGTATTGAGCAGCTATGTTAAATATGTTGTTAGTATGATATTTCTAACTAACAGGAAACTTCCCCAGTCTGCAAGACTATACTGCAGTAGGAAAAAGTAATTTTAAAAAAGAAGGAAATAAAGTGAAAAGAATAGTACAGGCAAAAGAAAAAGTAAGTAAGCAAGTAAAAAGAAATTAACTAGAATTTTAATTCTACAAATAAAAAGAAATTAAATAGAATATAAAGTTAAAAAAGTAATTAAAAGAAAGATGTTTGCCTAGGAACACTAGAATCTGCAACATTAGTAATTAATAATAATATATTTTTAAACTCACCTGACAAATTTATGAAATAAATTTCATCAGATTATTAAAAGAATTTGAATTATATTTTTCTATCTACCTTTTCTATATGCCCATGTGATAAAAACAACTTTTCAGTCTAACACATCTTACCAAATTTTGAAGCTATATTGAACCATTCTCTAGATAATGACCATATGATTATTGAAGTCAGCAATAAATTGTAAGTACAAAAAAAAAAAAAAAAAATTTAAATTGTAACATACTCACAATCCAACTGTATAGTTGAAATATACTTCAGAGAAGATTTACCAGGTTAAGTCTATTTTAATTTACTTATTGAAAGATAATTTAAATAAAACTACCACAAAATCTAAACAAATTCTGCTGGAGTTCATGACTTGAAGTTTTGAATAATTTACCTAATACTCCAACATCTCACAATCGCAAACCAAAAAAGTAGTTAGAACAGTGATTGAAAATAACAAAGCAGCCATCTTTGCCTGAAGTACTTTTTCAAATTTGACTCACCTCAAATACCAGAATTTGTTTCTGAACATCTTGCATTTTGAATAAAACTCACCAATATGAGTAGCATTTTGTATAATGACTACACCAATGGGTTTCAAATATGAAAGGGAGAAACTTACCTATTTATTGTAAGTAGACACCAAATGTATTCTGAGATTTCAACAACTGATTTATGTGCAATTATTTAGTTCTGAATTCCAGTCCAAAAAGATAAAATGATTTTAGAATTTTCTTTGTACAATATAATTATCAAAATTCCACCTTAAAATATGAGGACTGGGGAGAAAATATTGACATCTGTCAAATTTCAGTTTTAAAGCCACAAAAGGTCCACTTTCTCTCTAAACTAGCACCTATGCCAGTAGATTCCTCTTTAAAAACCAATGGAAATCTTTTCATCAAACTTTCAACATCTCGGGCTCTAATTGTGCAATCTATCTGATGCAAATAAGAGCATATGTAATCTATACTAGCACCAAAAGGATGCACATTAAGGAATGTTGATACCAATCCAATTAAACGAGCCTCCATTTCAGTGACATTTAATGTCAAGTTAGAACTTGAACTGGGAGTACCATACACTAAGCTATCTCTCACATGATCTTTATCAGAATGATCTATCTCATTATCTCTGTGATCATCTTCCTTATCCAAAGTTTCCCGACGTCTCACTTTAAAAGCACGCAATTCTTTCAACTCTGCTTCATCTTTATTCCGTTTCTGGTTCAATGAAAGAACTTCTTTTTGTAATCCTTGAAGAGCTTGCCGCATAGCTTGCAAATGTCGCTCTCGTAAATCTTTTTCTTGCTCATTTTCAGTGCGTATTAGCATCATTTCATTTTGTGATGCTTCCAGTTGACAACGAAGAGAATCATTTTCTTCACGCAATTTATTCAATTCTTCAGTAAGGGCATCTTTTTGATCATCAGTAGATTCCTCCTGAGATTTCTTAGTTGAATTCTCATCATCACTCAACTCCATTTCATCTTCAATACGATCATTCAATACCTCCTCAACATGAGCATTCTTAATTTCCTCTGTCTGTTTCTTCCACATTTCAATGTTTTTCCTTTGCGCTTTAGTAAAATGATCCCAAACCTTTTGTAAACTAGCAGCATTGAAAACTTTCCCAATTTCATTAAACTGTAGCAAAATGCCTTGCATTTGTTGCTTCAGCATCTTCCTTGCAGTTTCTAGCTCCTGCTCATATTTTGCCTTCTCATTCATTAACCTTCTTACATGACTATTTGTGCTCTGAATCATTGAATAAAAAAATCCAGCATTTCTTTTACTGCATTCACCTCTTTCTAGCCAAGTTATTAAAATAAAGACAGCTTGCTGGAATGTATCCTCCCCTCGTAATTTTTCACCTAAAATAGTTGCCTCGTGATCTGAATAATGGACTACAGGTGGGGGTGTTGGCGGTCGAAAATATTCTTGTTCCAAACGTTCTCTATGACGAGCTTCTCTTTGTAATGCCCTCTGCTGACACTCATATTCATACTGGTCATCCCTTGCTTGTGCATAATCAACATGCAACCTTCCAGTATATGCAGCTTCATCTTTATTTTCAATTTTGATTCTATAACCTGATAAAAAAATAGCACTTTCAACAAAGGCCTCACTTGCAAATCTAATATGGCAGAAGTTCTTTTTGCTCATACGCACTGTAAGAATTTCACCACAACGCTCAAATACTTCTTTGATAATCTCTTCTGTGGCATTTTCAGGTAAACCACCCACAAAAACTGTCTTACAGCCCAGAGGTTTGTCTCGTGTGGTTGGCGGAGGTGCATTTGGATTTGGTGGATAAAGAACACTTTTAGATAAATGTATGATTTCTTTAACAGGAGGCATCATTACATTTTCCTGACCATTCATCATACCATACTGACAAAAATTCCCCATTCCCATCATTCCAAACATATTATTATCTGCTCCCACACCCATATACGCATATGGATTCATACCTGAAGTGGAAGTAGTGCCCATTTCCATACCTGGTGTCATTGGAATACCTGATGCAGCAGGATTAACAGGTAAATTTTGACTCATGCCCATACCATCTAAAGGAGTCATACCTGGCCATGAATTCATAGCAGATATTAAACTGTGCCACGAGTTCATAGTAGATACAGACATTGCTCTGCGATTATCAACATTATAATGTTCAGGAGCATTATACCCATAAGAAGGAAAAACAGAGGCTGGTGGTTGTTGTTGTTGTGGTGGTGGTGGTTGTTGTTGCTGCTGCTGCTGCTGCTGCTGCTGTTGCGGAAGTGGCAGTGGCTGCTGTGTTTCTTCTTTAAATCTTTCTCGATTTTCTTCTTCCTTAAAGTGCTCTCTATTTCTCCCGTAAATACTTCTATCCCTAGTCCATTCTCTCTCCCTGCTACGATCCCGGTTTTTACCATGATCACGTCTATGTTCCCTGTGATTATCATGCCACTGACTATTAGAAATTGCTGATGATGTTCCATCTCTTGATGTATTATCAGTATATGGTACACGCGATTTGTTACTATTATTTGCTTCCATTTTTACTAAATTTTAAACAAAGAAATCTACAGTAAATATGGCGGCTAGACAACAGGGCATACAACTACAACTACCATTATTTCGGATTTGAAATGATTAAAAATAACGAACAATCTAAAAATTTTATAGCCACCACACACAAATTTAATTTTACGATAATTAATATTAAAAGGGAAAGTATTCAGATATAAAAGACAACACCTTTTAACCTATCAATTTTCTCACAGCTCTAGATTAACGTATAAATGGCACCACTTTCCAATGAGTTGAGAAGTTGATCGCCTGGAGAAATAAGAAACTGAAAAGACTGTCGGAAAACCGAAACGAAAAGCTGTTTTCTTTCATAAAACTGAAAATTTCACTAAAACTGAAAGTTAATATTTGTTCAGCGTCAAACATAAGAGGTTTCAGTTTTTCGACATAATTATTTATTCGCTTAGCCGAGAAATGCGCTAAAGTATCGTCAAACATTTTACAGTAGGTGCTCCTTAATGTTATAAAGTTTGTCCACGTCTATTTTGATAATACGAACCGAGGGATAACATTAAAGGACGAGAAAAAAAAAAATATTCATCCAGAGTCGTAGCTAGGGTTTTCAGCGCCCAGGGACAACTGAAGATTTCGCGCCCCCTACTGCTTGCCAAGGATGGAAAACATTTAATTCTAAAATATCGTAACATCAGTTTGGCGCCCCTTGGGTTCTGCCCCTTGGGGACAGATGCCCCCTCTTCCCCCCCCTCTAGCTATGCCCCTGCCTCCAGGACACGATATTTATGCAGGATGGTGCACCTCCCCATATTCTTCGTGGCGTTCAACAGGTTACGAGCAACTTTTACCGATACACGTGTGATCAGCCGCTGTTTCCCTACAGCTTGGCCTCCCCGCTCGCCTGATCTCACGATGATGAATAATTCATCAAAATAATATTGGAATTTAAGTAATTTGACATAAATGCAATGAGAAACATGTAAATAAATACTTTAACGGAATTTTTACTAGGACTTTGCTTTGTTTAATAAGTGTTGATAAAGTCATTAACTCAATAGTTCATTTATGAACTGTTTAAAATATTTCTCAAAATTATTTAACATACGTCGAATAATACTCAGAAGGCATCCCTCATCCACTGGATGAGAGCATGTAATGCTCTCGAGAGTTCACGAGATTGTTAGCCCAAAAGAGCGTAGTTCGGAATGGGCTATGAATCAGGAAACGGAATTTCGCGGCGTATCACTTTAATAATACGGTGTAAATAATGGCGTGTCTGAATCACTTTTGAAATTGTTGATACCAAACATTATCACCCTGTTTTATATTTAAAGAAATGAAATAATGAAGAATCTCCCTGAATGTATGTATTCTCGCATTGTGAAAAAACGAAGGTACCTAGAGCCATCCAGTTTCGAATAACGTAGTCTTCTACTCGAGGATTTGCACCTGGACCAAATTCTAATTTATTTTATTATCTATTTCACATCTTCTAAAATTTTAATGAATTTTTCATTATCAAACTCAACGATTTCAAACCGAGCAGTGGTAACACTGTACGGAATAAAACATTTTTATCGCCAGCACGCAAGACTGTATATCGGAAAGTCTAAAGATATGCTTTTTAAAATATTTTGTGATTTTGATGTTGAATTTTATGCTGCGTAAGAGCGAAGAACATTATATTTATTAAATAAAGTTAATCCACCAAACGTTAATACTAAAAAGACAAAAGAAGTTTTGCAAGAACAAATCTGAACACTGATGTAATCGACTGAGAAAGTACTGAAAAATAGAAAACTTTATGACAACACTTAACACTGCATTGGCAATTCTAAACATATGCTGCTTTTAAAACGTTTGTAATTTTGCTGTTGAATTGTACATGGCGTATGTGCGAAGGAAATTATATTGAATAATAAAGCCAAAAAGAAATGAGTTTAGCATAAGTGAGAGCAACAGCCAAAGAACGTCTATACCAAAGAGCCAAAGAAAAATACATATTCTTTGCAACAGCAAACTGGTAGTAAACAGCCAGTTCAGCGATGGCGTAAAACTTCTTTTGTTAGATCGTTAAAATCTGAACCTTTTCAGATTTATCAAACTGAAAATTCGAAAGAAAACATTTGCTTTTAAAGAAAAGTGATTTTTGTCGGATCATCCTCAAAATCGACACAGTTATTGAAAATCGAAGCCATACTGAGGTTGCTTTTTTCCCTAATTTTAAATGGTTGACTAAAATTTAAAACAAGCTGTTTAGAGACATAATCCCTTCGTTTGTGATAATTTTCTGACCCTAGGCAATTTTTATAGTCTATTTTGACCCTATATGGCGTCCTTACTTCAGTTAAAAAATTATTTGATAATAATTGCTAATATTAACCGAATTGTTGACAAAATAAGCAATGTACCTAGATTTCCGTTTACACACCTAATGTTATTTACCTACGTTCTCGTTTACGTTTCGGCCAGACTTCGGCAGTTTGATACCAATATCTGAATAATAACATGAAACGTGATCACTTTAACGTCTGCGTCTACTGTAACACATCTTTAGCAAGATTGGTATAGCAAAGTTACTGCACACGAAGATTGAAAGAGATTTTGTTAAATATATTTCAGTTTTCAAATTTCTGAAAATTTTTACCCCAAAGTTCGTGTTTAAAGGCTGCTCTCGGACGTGCAGTTTTATAATCGTATTGAGCCTCCCAGACTGTACAGTGGTTAGGGGAGTGGAGTGCGATAATGTAGGGAACGGGTTCGAATCCGGAGAAGGCATAGATGTAAAATTGTCTGTCCCTTCATAGTAGGTAACGGTGGCTGCCTATTAGGTGCCTCCAGAATAAAATGGCCACTACTTTCGCCTTAGGAGTGGTCAATGCTAGAAAGGAAGAGCCCGTCGTAAAAAAAAAAAAAGTATTGATAAAATTTTCATGTTTATATTTAATGCTTTTATTTTATTATTCAAAAATTTGACTTTGTATAAAAACAAGGTTATTACTTCAAATTCAGCAGCTATAATTTACATTACTGTCGAAACAGGCACTGAAAAGGAGAAAGTATGAAAAGGCTAGACAATAGCAATACAGTCTTTCGCCAAAAAATCAAGATAAGAAAATAAATAAGTTCAGCTATCGATGAGAGATTTGGTGTTTCCTTTTTGTATAATTCTTCCACTAATTTATTCAAAAATTCATTTTCTATCCAATATTTAACTCGCCTATAACACTAATTTTTTTGCAACGTTGAAAAAGTTTAATTAAACAATAAATCTCACGTAAATTGTTTTATAACTTTTTATTTTAGAAGCTAATTATATAATCTTTTTTTTCTTACTTTAACTTACTATTAAACACTTTCCTAATACTTCACAAACTATTTTTTATTTTAACAATAGTTATAAGCTATTTTATCACTGTATTTATACTCCTGAAATTTTATTACCATGTTAGACTTTGATTTGCTTTTAATGAAAACATAATGCCACTCCAATCTTTCAAGCACAAAACTGCAAAATAAAACATTTAAACGGTCACAAATAATAGTTGCGTCAAACAGAAAATAAAATTAATGCAGAAATTAATTTTATGGAGGTTTTATGACATTTAAAAATTTTTATCGCGACAGAAAACCACATAAATTCAAACTCGCAAGCATTGACATAATTATGTTTAATTGCTACATTGCTAATGTAAATAACATTTTTATTTACTCCCAAACGGGATAGTGGTTAGTGATTCTGACTACCGCAGTGAAGGGCCCGGTTTCGAATCCCGGGCATGGAAGTTTGTAAAAATACAGTGTCTCCGCGGTATGGAAGCACTCAAAATATGAGGGCAGCGGCATCCTCTTGAGAGGCTGTGGTAGGGGGAAAGTGGTGGGAGACTCTCGGAACCTTCCCCCAGGGTTGCTCTCCTTCAAAATTGGGAGTGGTACTGAGCAAAGTCTTGCTGTCACCTGTATGTGCGCCCAAGCTCTTGTCAACGATAGGTGCAAAGCTGAATTGATAGGTGAATGGCTTGCTCTGATTTCAGACAAGCGAGATTAGTAATAATAATAAAATTTTTATTTGGAGTGTTTCTTTGGTTAATTTGCTTTTAACGAAATTTTCGCGGTATCTCACCCAAAAAAGTGACACATGACACTCGCTGATAAGTCTACACTACAACCTTTATTTATTAAGTAATTTGATATTTTTTATGATGCTTCAGTTCTAAAGAACAGAATGCTCAGGTATCTTAGTTATGGCAGTTTAGCTTATTATTCTGAAATATTCCATCAACAGTACTCTTGTTTTCGGATACACACAATAGTGGGATTCAGAGATTCGGCAAAAATAAATTTTAATATACCTCTAGTTTGGTGAGCCGGTTCTTGACAGTTACATTGTAGTATTAATCGCTCTTTAGTAGCGAACTATCGTTCATTTAGGCAGCGAAACAATTGCTAAATTATTTGAATCCCAGTACTGGATGACTCTGAAAAATACAGAACACAGAATATAAATAGTTCAGTACGAATTATTAGCTAAAAGACTGACACCATAAAACTTCTGACTTGTCACTGTTTCTTGAAACCCAAAAAATTGATGTTGGTTAGACAGGTAGAAAAAATTCCAGTTTCTTGGACCCAATTTGATCAAGTTCAAGAATTAATTAACACCATACAGTTCTACATTCGAGTTAGTTTGGTTACAAAGTGAAAAACGTGCTGAAGTGACCTCAAGATAATACAGTTAAAAGTCGTTAATCTGGACTCGTCGGGACTTCGGCGATTCCGGATTATCGATTTTTCCGGATTATAGATCATCACTTTAAATCTGGTAAGATGGCATGCAGAAATTATAAAACTGAAAATATGAAACCATAATTTATGAAATAAAGAACAGTTATGATCTAAAGGGTATCAAAATTTACAAAAACAAAAGCTTAATATTTATTTGTTTACTTTATTAAACATTTCTTTCAATGTAAGTTGTTTAAGTTGCTTCGTTTTATGCGATAATGTTTTCTCTTTAATTCTATAAACCGACATAATTTCTTGTTCAGTTACAAAGTTCCGCTGTTCAAGTCCTATAATTGCTGTGTCGAGAATACCGACTAATTTGTCAATAGAAATTTTTTCGTTTTCAATAACCTCTGTGTCACTTTCTTCACTATCGGAAGCGAATTATAATGACGAGGAATTTGATTTAAATCATATCAAAG